CTCGTAAATGAGCAGAAGTAAGAGTTGTCTCAGCCTGCAAGACAAAGCACCTTTAGTGTCTGAATCTTCCTTTGCCAGTGTTTGTAGTGTACAGACATTCACTAGAATAACTGTCATCAGAGAGCTTATTTTTGAAAGACAAAAAAAAAAAAAGCCTTCCTTTACATTCCTGTTCACTCCAAATCTGGCGAGCATCTAAAAGCATCAAAAGACTCAGCTTGCTCTGATGACAAAGAGTTGTCTGCCGGTAGCTGGAGTAGGCTGGGCAGCCAGCAAGAGGATGGGAGTGTTGTTCCTCAGACAGGGTTTGTTACCTGGTGTGCAAAAGCCAATCTCACACGCATAACGGAGAGGTCAGTTTATTCTGTATTTGGTTTAAGAGAGGTGGGTGCTAGGTGGTAATTCCACAAAGCTAGCACACCACACAAAGGAACTTCAAATTATTTATACACTCCAAACTACATGATTACATATATACATACTATAATGATTACTGGTTAGTCACTTATCACTTCTATCCCTTATTGGTTAGTAACATGCCCACTTCAATTTAAAGTTACAGTGGGTTTTTCATTTTCTGCACAAGCTCAAAGAGGGAGAGTCTTTATTCAGGCAGGGGTCTTCAAAGCAGTGGGTGTGATTTTTACTATTATAATGAGGAGAGTTCTTCCAAATGACATTCTAATCTCTAATTAAACTGATACAGGTTGAACAATTTTAATGAGCATCCATGTTCCAGGATGTTTCTTTTCTTCAAGTATGGTAGCTCCTGATGAGAAGCTCGTTACTAATTATAGTTGACAGTTTGAAGAACAGACTGACCTAGCTGATGTGTCCAGTAAGTCCTTGTAGCTGATGAGAAGCATCATATACAACGGACATACGGACAATAATGCATACTATGTGTCCTTGGGTGCAATGAGAAACATTTGTGATGCCTACAATATGTGGTAAGAAACAGTTGTGTGGCCGACTGGAGGGGGATCCAGTCCAGACTGGCTATCAGATCAATGGCTGCTGCAGATTTTCATTTGCTTTTATAGAAGGAAGATCATGGGAACTGTTGGTCTTCCTAGTCTGTGGAGCCTTTGGCTTAAAAAACTGCCCTCCCTGGGAAGCAGACGCTACATAACATCTCAAATGTTGGTCAGTGTGTTTGCTCAGGTTTCCGCTGCACTCAAAAGCAGCATGCTTGCCTTTGCTTTGTGCAGAGACCTGTGCAATCTTCCTGTTCTGTGGCTCATAGACGATAGCTTGGAGTCATGGGAGGTGAGAAAGCGTGCAACAGAGAGGTTACAGGTGAGTGGTAAAGAAGATGCAGAGGTAGGGCCAACCAGCAGCAGGAGAAATGTGCTACCCACTGTTACGCAACTGTTATGCCTCTGGTGCCTGCTCAGGTCCCGTGCTGAGGAGCCACAGAGCAGAGAAACACGCTGGCAGCTGTTACAGGGCTGGGGAACCACTTCCCACCAATAGCTGCGGTTCACAACTCATCCTCAGAGCTGGGAACACTCCTCAGCAGGGAGGCGTGTGCATCTCAGGTAGAGAGGGGAACATGTGCCTCTGCTGTTCCATTGTATCTATGTTCAATAAAAACTAGACTAACTCTGGAGTGGCAGAGAGGAAGGGGACAGGACTTGGCATATAGTCACGTAAGTTCATGTTGTTAATGTGCTTTACACGTTTTCTTTAGATGCCCACCATCACAGTCCTCAGTCTTACTGGCAGCTCCTCATTCTGCAGAAGGAAATTACTCGAGGCTGGAGTTAATCTACACTGAAAACAAATGTCAAGGCACAGAGCCATCAGAAACGTTTGCATAGGAAGCTATCAATAGCAACTGGGAAGGCAGAGAGGCACATGTTATCTCTCTGCAGGACACACTCTCTCTGGCCTTATACAGGGAGTTATATATAGAGCTGCATATAAAAACACAGAGCCCTGTGGCTGTGTTGGAAACCCTTAACCAGACGTATCTCTAGCAGAATCCTGTCCTCAGCCCCAACAGAGAGCTGCATATTTTAAGAGGTTATTTCAGACGGATGCTAGGCACCCAGCACCGCCGAAGGACAGCTGATCTGTGAAGCATGAGTGTACAGACCAGAGTGCAAATATACCCAGTCTGTCTAAGATTTCTGATTTCCTCTAAAGTATGTCTGTGCTATTTATAGAAACATCCCCCCTATTCCCATCTATGTACCTTACAGATCAGCACTAAATCAGTCCCACTATCAAAACCCTCCTTAACTGAGGAATTTACAGGCAGGAGGGGGTGGGAATTAAAAAATTTACAATGTAAAAGTATAACTAAATAACAGTAAAAAAATAGTCCAGGAGGGTCCTTAAGAACTTAAAGAGTTCATCAAACTGTCCCAAGGCAGGATCAACTGTCCCTAAGTCATTCCCGACAGTTTTTACTCTAACCTGCTGTGAAAGAATACCCCTGATGAAAGCTGCCTAGGCAGTAGGTTTACAGAGGCCTTTCTGGCATGATTCTCCTCCACAATGAGTCTGGAGTTAAAGACGACTGTAATGGTATAATAAGCAGTAGGAAAGTTGGGCCCAAGGTTAAAATGTAATCGTGTAAAGTGAGCCTATTTTACTAAGGCATGGCCATAATTTAAAGAAGGTTGCTAAACAAAGACTCCTGGATAGCATAACAGCAAATACAGCTCTGTGCTTAGGAAACCTTTAAATTATCCAAAGGCAGCATGCAATTTCAACAGCAGTCCTGCTGATTTAGCTTTCTAGGCAGCATAAGCACCACTCCTTTCCCAGAAGCTTTCAGGACAAGCAACAGAAAGCTGTGCCTTGAATTCTGCTCTGCCATTTTCATGTCAAATTGTCCTTTTGCAGATTTCCCATAGATGGATAAGGTGGGACCCTCCCTCCCAGGGTAAGGCAGAGCCTCTCTCCTGCGTGCTGTAGTAAAGGTCACACGGGGAGAGATCTGGATGGAAACCCAGGGATGGGTCCTGCAAAACAGCTTCATGAAGGCCTTCCTGTTCTCTCAGACTGTGAGCATGCCAGGTGGTTGATTTAACTGCTGCACAGGGTAGCTCCAGGTCCTTCTACCAGACAGAGACTGTTTATCATCACTGTTAAAAGTTAACATGGAAGTCACCTCAACACACGTGCATGACTAAAACTGTCAAAAGCCACAGGCTTCCATGTGCATATCTCCCTCCTTTCATCTGTGAGGTTAATATGAACAACCTAATCTGGGAAGTTGAAAGCTCTTTCCTTACCACACACTTTTCCCCTCCCATGCACATTTTGAAAGAGGAGAACAATGTTGAATTAGTTGCTATGAAAAATTAACTCATTGACAGAACATGATTTTTCACTTTTGTCCCCTTACTTCTGTTTCTCTACCCTTACGTCCCTCACAGATGGGAACCTGGTAATAGATAGGAAGACTCAGGAACCATAGTTTCAGATTTTCCAAGTACAGATTTGCCCCATGATAATCAAATACATCATTCCTCATAAGGCCAAGTAAGGAAGTATTATCTGGGCTGTTTCCCAGCAGGTACATTATTCAGCTCTTCTGAAATTCAAACTACTTCCTCTAACAGGGGATGTACTACATGCTGAAAAACATATGATTCTTCAGCAAGGCCGAGGGGCATGGGTAGGGATGGGTAACTACACCTCATCTTTGTTCTAGCTTCAGCGTGTTCCAAAAACCCATCAAATCCTTTACATCATTTTCCACTCTTACTCCACATTCTGCCTTCCCTATTTTTCTCATGTCTCCAGCCTCTGTATCTCTCAGTTTTAATATTCTCTTACTCTGCACCAGTCCTACTCAAGCACCTAATTTCTCCTTCCCAATACTAGCCCTACAGTCCTCTTGCTTCACACCACTCCAGACTTCTTATGGTTCTTCCAGCTATGTAGTCTTGCCTCTTACAAGGAAGGAGTCTACTGGGACATGCCTAGATCACATGTCTCACTTCCAAGCCCTGCCCTATGCTCCTTCTCTGCTTTTCCAAGCAGACCACCACCACTAGTGATGTTCCCAATGCTGCCATAGAAATTAATCTGCTTATGGAAATAAAACCACTTTAAGTAGGAAGGCTGCTCTAGGTTTGGACACCAGGACTGTTATGGTAGCCTGAAGATGCCCCCTGGATCTCTCTGACATCTGTGACAGAGGTACAGCTAACTACTCTACCTTTTTCACTTGCACTGCAATGCAAAACCAGAACGGCAGTTATTCCTGAAGCTCTTTTTGCTCACTGAAAGTGTCTATAGACTGTGTCTTTGGGCTCAGCAGTGGCAAGTGGTGCACTTAATCTGGTTTGAGAGGTCTTCAGTTATCTGCGTCTGGAAGTCCCTTAGAAAAAAGAATGTGCCTTAATGACTGACAAGTAGAAAGACATCCTGATGTCTACTGTATGCATGAAATACACAAACTGACTTGCCATAAACGCAACAACTGCAAGTTATTTGCTTTGATTCTGAGCAGCATTTCAAGCATACAAATTAAGGCACCACTACCAAATAAGCTGAGAATGTTCATCATCTCTTTAACAGTAAATGACTGCCATTTACTTTAAAGCTCAGTGTTTCATTCTTTACACAGAATGGGTAAGAAACTTGGAATTATTCCACAGTAAAAAGAAGTACATATAAAAAAGTAAGTAGAAAGCAGTTGTCAATTTTGATGTATTACATAGGCTTGACTTCAGAAACAGGTTCTAATGCAGTTCTTGCACGCAGATCTCTTCGAAATGACTGTGTTGAATATCCCTTGACATATATCACATACACCACACTCTCGTCAAAATATATCAACATGCCACACTCTCACTGAATTTCACATGAAGAGAATATTTCAGATGAAAACACTTTGTCTTGCTAATGATCAACTCCATCTGTGTAGAAACTACTCGGAAGAAATATAAAATCCATTTAGTAAGGCCACACAACTTTGAAAGTCTGGTATATTGAATAAAATAATTTTATTTGTACTTACTTGTTTGGTTTTTTTAAACAAAGTTTATGGAATCTGAAAGTAGACAATAAAAGGTAACTTTTAACTGAGACTTAACATAGGAGATTCTCTACCCAAAAATATGTCAAACATTAGGAACATAAAGAACTCCAAGGTTCTGTGCTATACTGTATGATATGTAAACAGATTTTGAAAATACTTGCTTATTATATATGTTGACACAGTATGCACAAATCAAAATTAAAATGAAATTTAAATGCCTCAAGGGATTCCTTAGAAGTAAAGCCATTTGAAGAGCCACTTACAGTCTGCAGTGACAAACTTCTATAGAATCAAAATACTTCTTTTTATCACAATGCAGAATAACCTGCTGAAGGCAACTCCCTATCAAAGTGATGCCAGCAACACAGATCTGATTGTATGACCCAGCACTTAAAAGAGCACATTGGTTATACATGGCTTTTAACCTTGGGCTACAATTATGCTACCAGAACTAAATTCAAGTCCAAATCAGTCATGTAGAGAGGTGTCTGTCATCTGAACACTGTTTAGAGTCCTTGTTCTCCAGATCTGATGAAGGTGGTGAAGGCGCTCTGAGGTTCTTGTGCTTATATTCAGGGCAGGATGAACTTTGCAAATACCAGATTCTCCAATTAATGACAAACCACAGATCCCAAAGTAGGCATGTAAAGCATCTTGAAGAAGAACACAAAAGGAAAAAGAAAATTATGTCAGGCTGTAACAGCCAAGTGTTCCTGTATTCCAACACCCCTGAATAATTACAGCCAAGGAAAACAAATAAACAGGTGCTACATTTTAAACCTGAGTTTTGACAGAAGAAATCAATTTCTGCCCAAAGCCACCAGTGTGAATTGACAGTCTGCAATCTCTAAAATGAGAGACTAGTTCTGTTTTATAACAATTCTTGCCCACTACTTTATTTCTTCTGAGTGCTCAGGCCAAACAGCAAAAGATTTTGATCATCTGAAAATAATTTCTGGCCACAAAGACATTTTTTTTTCCCCAAACATGGAAGAATTTTTTTGCTGATTACTTGATTAACAGCTGGCTACTGAAACACCAAAATTAGTGCCAATAGCTGCCAAAGAGCAAGTTTTGGAAGTATGAAAGTAGTACTTGCTTTTCCTAGCTTTTTCTCTTCCTGAGAGAATACCCTAAGGATACGAAATTCATGAGGTGGCTTGACCAGCCATAGCAGATGACTACCACCAAATACAGATGCTCTTACTCCCCAGTCCCACACTGCGCCTGCTGCCTACCCTATACCAGCACTACGGCGTGCTGAACACCCTCCATGACCTAAAGCAATTGAAAGAACTTGGAAGAAAATTAACCCAAGCAGCAGAACATGGTCAATTTTCTGACATTTTAGTGAATTAAATGGCTTTGCAGAAGTTTTTGATGTATGCCCAGGATAGTGCAAAAAAGAAAAAAGATGTGCAGCTGTACTTGGGGAAGCTGGGAGGAAGAGAAGTGAATCTGCCTCCTCTGGGTAGCAGCCAGCCATTAGATTAGATTATCTGTCCATGAAATCACAGGCTAAAGATGAAGATGTGAATTTAATGTGCTCCTTACAAATTCTTAACACTTACTAATCTTTTGGAGGTGTCAGTAAATTTGTATCTGACTAAAATTATATCACAAGAAGGTATCTGGAGAGAGAGACTCTGAAAGAAGGCTTCTGCTTATCAGCATTAACATGCAGACAAACACATGCTCAGGAGATACAGCCCCTACTGATCTTGGAGAGAGTATGGCAGGCAAGGAGACCTCAACTTCAGGAAATACAGTGTATTAATCCCCGTGCACAGCTGCATTTATATGCACTAAAAACCATACACAAACCTAATTAACTGTATAAGACTATCTGCTGCATTAAACCACAAAGTTCAACAGTGGTGTAAATCCATGCTGACATAATACTCATGCAGTCTGTTGTACTCTGTTTCAAGCTATGAAATATACCAAGTTTTTCAAGGTCAAAAAACATAGGTCCAAACATTTTGTTTCATAAGTAACTCACAAATACAGAAGGCAGCATGCAACCTCACAACTGCTAGGCTGTTGTCTTAAAAACAAAATAAGGTGTATTTATACTTCTACAAGAGCAAATCTCACATCAGTGTTTTACTGTAGTAATCGTGCACACTTATTTTCAACCTCTCATTGTTTTATGTCAAATCTTCTGATCTTTCTCTTGCATAGTCCGTAATTCACATGTGCTTCTAATTCTTTTACACTGTTGTCATTTGAAAGTAGCAAGTGAGATACATTAGAGTTGAAGCATGACGTCCTCCTGGAGCATGCATCAGTACATCCAACAATTTAAAGTTTATTTAAATCGAGTCATGATATTTGGTCAGTTTACAGACTGTTTATCATCCCTGTACAAAATGCCACTGGGCAACACTACTGGTACATGGTTTATCTTCAGAAGTTTGCAATACCTTCACGGAATTCTAGCATCTTTTCAAATTAAAAAGATTTTAGCATCTTTTCAAGTTTTTCACAGTTCAAATTCTCCATTTCTAAAAGGATAATAATTAACTCTCAGAAATACTATGTATAATTGTTATGTGTAACTACAATCTGTAAATCATATTAACTACATAAATTTTGGCTGGTTTTACATATATCTTTGACTTCTGAATAAGCTGAAAGGATCCCTTTATTAAGGAAACAAATGTGTTGAAATATTCTACTCAGATATTTACAAAGATACCCACTGCACAATACTCTCTTCAACTAGAATAGTTCAACGCATATGGAAAGGTTTGTCCAGGTCTAAATAGACAGTGATACTCTTTTAGCAATAGTCTAAACAAGAAGATACAGGAAAAACTTTATCTCCCTCCTTCCACTAAGGAAATGAAAGTCTCATATTTTAAGGGAGGGTTTTTTTCATTTTTGAAGGGAGACTGAGGAGAGAACTTCCTTTATACCTCTCAGACGTTTGACTGCTGGAATGTATTTCTACCTTAGAACACACTCATGATTTTGAAAGGTAAATTTACCTGGATGGCTATCTGGCCACTTGGCAAATCCACCAACAAGGCGATCTTGTGTTGACAGGATGTAATTTCGATTTTTCTCAAAATTTGTATATTGAAATATGTTCAAGAGCTGAAAAGAAATTAGATCATTACAATAATATACAAAATCTTAGTGTGTTTTTAGTACTAAAATATAATGCCTATTTATGAGCTAAGCAGTGATAGCAGAAATACTAGTCTGTCAAACCTCCATATCCTGCATTTTTGCAAGATGAAAGACCTTTACAGTGATCTGTACATATGTATGCATTTGTGCCAAATATGTAACTCTTTCAAGCTAATAAAATATGATCCTTAAAGAAAATGAAACAAGTCAGTAACTATATTGTTCTGTACACTACCTTCAATGTTGCTCCCACCCAAAAGGAATAGCAAGTGTCTACAGGTTTGTTGGGTCGTCCGTGGTAACCATTCTGCTGTCTCATTATACACCACCTTCTTATTCTGTTCAGTTCTTTTTCTGAAAAAACTTCCTCCAGTTTACCCATCAAACACAGCGATGCAATACCACAAAATGTAGAGCCACCTGTGAGAAAAGAGTTGGGTTTGCAATGTTTTGATACCCAGGTTTTTCACTGATTCCTGTACGAACTCAGTCAGAACTTTAACTAGGGTAGGAACAATTAAATCAATGGATTTTTAAAATTATTAAAATGCCAATTTTAAGACTAAAATCCAAATAAATAAAACCACTTTAGTTCAGCACGTATGTCAAAAGGGGACAAACCCCTCCCTCAATCCAAATCTTGCATAATGAAATCTGAATTCATATTCTTGAAACTTGATTACCTCTCAATTCCGCACAATTTACATTACACAGCAGTCCAGAAATGAGTAAACTGCAATGCAACAGAAGACATTTCTTCAGATGTAACTTAAAGAAAGCTACTGGGATGCCAGCAATCAGACTGAAGCAGAGATGACAAAGGTAGTCTCAGATACAATTGCCCCCAGAGGATATAAACAGACAGAAGTATCAATAGGAAAAAAAAAAGGTATGGTTAACGCTATGAAGACTGCTGGACTCTAACGGTTGTCATAAAAACAAATTACGCTTCTAAGGAATTTTTTGTTGTCAAGGAAACTCCACAATAAAATTTGGAATTAGAGAAGAAACTCATGTTCTTCATCTGTATATCATGGCCACCCCTTTTATTTATTACCTAGTATGATAAAATTACAGCCTGGGAAAGATCACAAGAAAGCTGCCGATACAAGACTTGGAGCCCTTACACTATCCTTGGTCATAGAAGACCCCAGGAACTCTCAGGTTATTTTCATTCTGATGCTGAAATGCAGCGGGAGAAGGATGCTGAAGCAATGCTATCCGTCATCACTAGCATTTTACACTAACTTAGTTAACTAATTTTTTTAATACACAGGGGTGTAGTTTAAGATCTTCAACTTTATTCGTCCTGCAGGAAGAAAACAGGTGGAATTCCATCAAAGCTCAATACTAAGGATAAAGCTAGCAAACATCTGATAGATTTAATATCAGTCACATGAAAGTGAATAGTTTCTCTGTCACAAGTAGACCACTACTTCATGGCACAGAAACATTTGTTTAAAACTATCAGTCTCTTGAGAATTCCTATCTTCACAACTACCAACTGTTTACAAAAATTAACTGCTACTTCAAGATATGAGTCCCCAGTGGATGTTGTGATCTATCAGAGGAAATGTTTCTAGGTTTTATTAATAGCTGCTGAAATTGGAGGTTATAAGGTGCACTGCACGAAGTCTCCTGCAGATAAATCCACAGAGTAGCAATGGTGCATGTGTAAAAAGTTTGCTCTGTTAGCAAGAAATGAGAACTACAGCCAACACCTTTCAACAAAACATTCATGAGGTAATATATCAACTCCATTAATCTTAAGAGCCCATCCGGTCTATTATTAAGCTGGAACTAAAGGAAAAAGATGATATTCTGAGGCATATTTTGGATTTGCTCCTCCTCATCACACTTCCTTTAAAATCAGAAAAGAAGGCATGACATACCCTGCAACTCTTAGAGCAATTTTAATCTCAGTCTTAAAAACAGGTGTAGAACATTTTAACATTCTTACCATGAGATTCCAGTCCAGCTCCCTGTGCCAGGCCGTTATCGTAAGACTGAAGGAAAAAAACCCACAGTTACTTTAGAACCACATCACTTTTGCAGACACTGCAATTTTCAGTTTACTAGCAGTATTATCATCAGACCATAACTACCATTTAACCTGATTAAATTCTGAACCAATACCTCAAAACGATCTTGGCACAAAACACTTAACATATCAGCCTTGTTTCAACGCAGGCAGCTTTTATGATTTCATCATGGAGTTCCTTTTACTTCTTACATGTTAAAAGTCTAAATCCAGGTAAATTTGGTTTTGCCAAAAAGGGAAAGCATGTGCTGAAGATAATCATTAAAGAAAAAGAAAAAAAAAACCCACATTTTTTTTTGTCTTTATAAAAAGAGAAAATGGATTGTAATTCCCAACAAAATAAAATGGGTAAATTAAATCTGTCTCTAACCCAACAGCTGGTTAACATACAAAAGGCAAAATGCAAGGTACTACTGTGTGTACAGTACTCAAGTACAAGAAATGCTTTAGTAAGGAGCAAGAACAGATGGGGATAGGGAGGGAGGAAGAAACCAGAGCAACAACCTAATAAAGCATACTACTGGACTAAACCTACCCTATAAAATATTACTGTTAAAAAACACCTTAACAATGTTGAAAAAACACTTTGTTAAGTGAAAGAAAAAGGAGAAACTTGAGTCTGATGAACAAAGCACCAAGAATATTATAGTACAGCTGTGTTAAGAGCAATCTAAAAGCAGATGATACTGTATATGTAGTAATAACAATTTTTATTCCCTACAAAATTCATTAAATCATTTTGCATGATAAGAAATAAGAGATCACAGCTATTAATAAAATTTAAAATGTTTATTTTACAAGAGTTCATAGGATACTTAATAAATTATCACTGGACAAGTACCAAGCTGTTTAGAAGGAACAAAAGTGAAGTTTAACTTCTGAAGTTAACACAGGTCCTACATCTTCTATATTAACTGCTCAATCAACAACTGGTTCATTATCTATTCAGAAAGAAAGCAGTTTTAACTTCCGCCGCACTGTCCCCGGCCCAGTGCTGGCTATGTATTTCTCATGTTCTGTCCAGTGGCTACAAGACACAGGACACCTCGACAAACCACTAATGACACTCATAGTCCTATCCAAAGAATAGCTACAAGAGCTAGCATGGCTTCAGGAATGACCTAAGCATTATTTTGTAAATGTTTCTAAAGCTGACATTGAGAAGAAAACAAGGAAACAGAAGCTACATTATATTCCTCAGTTTTTGAGTTGTTGCTGCAAGGTGAAATAATTAGTAAGACTAACACCTAATGAGACTAGTAAGGCTAATATCTAATATATACGCTTCAAGATGCAACTTGACCTCCTAAAGTTTGAACCAGTCAATTTTAAGTAATTCCTATGAACATCTGAATGCTAAAACACATAGTGTAAACTCTTCACACTTCTTTTTGAGAACACAATGCAAAAGTGCTACCACACTCCACAGACCCATTCATTGGTAAGCAAAGGCAAGCTGATCAGTAAGGTAGGGTGGAAACGCTAATTAACTCTACAAACATTAATTTTAATAGAAGATGATTTGCTTTATGCATGACAAAGTAATTAGCTCTGGAGAAAGGCTGTTTGCTGTGCATCCCAGACAGTGTATTATGCTGGGCTGTACAATTAGCTTGAAATTTTAATATACAATAGGTGACCTATGGCTGACTGGTTGCATGTTTATTTATACACAGAAGGTGCTCTTTGGGAACTGGCATGCATTAAAGAACTAGGGAAGTATTTTTCTTTGTCCTTTTGAAAAAAGACCCAGAAAATTATAGGCAAAAGAGGCTTTAGGTTACTGCAGCATGAAAGCTGCATAATTAAACACCATCTCCAGGAAATGTGTAAAACCAGTTGGGTACAATCTTTGCTTCACAGTATAAAACTTTCTCAACCAGCTTAATTACATCAACAGACTCATATACCTACATTTCAAGAGAACTCTACTATATTAGAAGAAGCAGATGATGTAGTTAAAGCTTCTTGCAGTATCTCTACTTAAAAAACACATTTCACAGAATCACAGAATTGTCTAGTTGGAAAAAGCCTTGAAGGTCACCCAGTCCAACCACTAACCTAACACTGACAGTTCCCAACTACACCATATCCCTAAGGGCTATATGGACCTGACTCTTAACCACCTCCAGGGATGGGGACTCCACCACTGCCCTGGGCAGCCCATTCCAATGCCTAACAATCCCTTCTGGAAAGAAATGCTTTCCAACATCAAGGCTAAACCTTCCCTGATGCAACCTGAAGCCATTCCCTCTTGTCCTATTGCTTGTTACTTGGTTAATGAGACTCATCCCCAGCTCTCTGCAACCTCCTTTCAGGGAGCTGTAGAGGGCGATGAGGTCTCCCATCAGCCTCCTCTTCTCCAGACTCAAC